TAAAGTATGATGAGACTATATTATATATATAGCAAGTAAAAATATAAGCTGAGCTCTCTTTTAAATACAAATGCATGGACTGTGGATCAAATCAAATCAAGAAAGTCGGATAAATTTTAAAGCTCAGTTATGAAAAAAAAAAAGACACATTCTACAAATATCGTAAGCATTCCCTTATATATATTATGAAAAACAAATAAGATAGGTAGTGTAACTTAGAATATTTTGGCGTTTATCGTTTTATCTCACCTTATTAAATTACTTTTTAATGTTTCGACGGTATACAGATAATTTCAGCAATGGTAATTGTCTAGCTATAAGGATAGACAGCTTCGAAAAATGAATAAACCAATACAATAGATTAAATGTTATAAAAATGGTACAAATTTTAAAAAGTGGGTAAAAAAATCCTCTCAACTTATTAAATCAATATCAAATAATCTAACTTATCTAATCTAAACTTATTATATTGTCAGTCGTCTCCTTTGTGTGGTAATAACATAATCTTCATAAAACATAATCTCACAGAAATTGTGTAATACAAATTCATGTCCGTCTATTTCATTCTTATTAATCGATTTTTGAGATCTATGAATCTCAACTAAATGAAGTTGTAAGACCACTTTTAAATTATAATTGTTAGCTATCATGATCAAAGTATTGCTAGTAACCTATTTGATATAATAACCTGTCTTATAAATTATTATTAGCTAATGTAATACACAATACAAAGCAATGTTGTATTGGTAAAAGGGAGCCCTCACATAGCACCTTACGAGACAGTTGTCTTGAAAAGTATAATTGTATACCCGGAAGTTTCACATAACCATGAGTCTTTGCGTACTAAGTGACTTATTTGTTTCACATGCACAAGTAAGAAGTTGCGGCTTTCTACAAGTCTGTGCCGCGCCGATTGTCATACGTTGTATGAGCGGCCGCCGCGCATGAGTGCGCGGCTCCCCTGTATCGTAGAAACGCTACACACAGGGAAACTAAATTGCAAAGAAGCTGCTGCTAACTGTTGCTAACTGCTGTTAACTGCTGTTAACTGCTGTTAACTGCTGTTAACTGCTGCTAACTGCTGCTAACTGCTGCTAACTGCTGCTAACTGCTGCTAACTGCTGCTAACTGCTGCTAATTGCTGCTATAACTGCTGCTAACTGCTGCTAACTGCTGCTAACTGCTGCTAACTGCTGCAAATGGCGCGCGCACGACAGCAGCAGTCAGCAGCAGTTAGCCTTGACGGTTAATTGACGAGCAGTCAGCAGCAGTCAGCAGCAGTTAGCCTTGACGGTTAATTGATGTCAATTCATCGCAGCTCGGCTTGTCAGTTGTCATACGTTGTATGACCCGCCGCGCACGAAGTGCGCGGCTCCCCTGTATCGTAGTGAAACGACCGTGGGGGTCACAACGTGATACAAAGCTCGGCGAGGCACAGTAGCGCATTTCGCCGATCTAGCGAGTGTCGCTGTGAGAAGCCTCATTGAGTGCGCGGCGCGGCCAGATCATTAACAATGGTCAACCTGTACCAGGACGCGCGCCGAGTTGGACTCAATTTTTTTGGCCGCTGATTCCGAATCACCCCCATCACATAGCTACAGCTAGGGTTAAAATGATCTACTAGCAAGATATTGGCGGAAAGATGTCTCGATCACGTGATATGACCGTATAAGGAAGTTAGTTTAATTTATTGTTAGGGGTAAAGTTTCAGTATATGCTTTTGTGAGGGATTGTGTTCATGGTTATACAAATTTAATTAAGACTGATATCGGATATACCAATTAATCTAGTTGGTCTGGTCAAACTGAAATTAACATTATTATTTTAGAAAACTAACACCTATGCTGTAATAAGTACGCGTACGATGCAATACTAAAAACTAAACTGTGCCGCGCAACAAATATCATATATTACTGCACTAGGCGGCGCACAGCCCGCCTCAGCCTAGCTTAATTGACGATGTAAATTTATCTCAGCTAGGCGCGGCACAGTAGCGCATCTCGCCGATCTAGAGAGAAGTGAGAAGCCTGATTGAGTGCGCGGCGCGGCACAGTAACGCACCGCGCTACACCATAACAGCCTAGCTTTTCATTCCGCCGCAGCTGCTTATGTGTCTATAAATAACCTACGGCCGCCGGCCGGTCCACAGGTTAAATATACTAGCACATAGGCCATAGCATCAACTCGTATAACCCTAAAATGGTATCAAGACTCAAAAAACTAAAATAATTATTACTTATTTAATTTGCGTTTTTGACACCACTTGGGCTATATTGGGGGTCAATATGGGTTTACCCTGATTTTTTTGTGAAACTTTGTTTCGAGATAGCAGTTGACCAACAAACTAGGACCGGTGACCAAACTTTTGAGGGGGTCCCGGACCCGGACCGCCAAACGGTGCCCGCGGGCCAGCCACGCCCATATTTGGTCCAAATTAGGCCCAATTTAGCCAAATAGCCTGAACATGCCCAAAAACCAGATTTTATGTGCTTTACTTGTAGCTAGTGGTCCCCTGAACTCGTATATGAATTTTCATTAAGATTGGACAAAAAATGACCGAGTTATGAGCCAAAAAACCATATGACCATATTTGGGTATACGCACCAAATTTGATCGATTTTGGCCCATAAATTGGTCAAATATCAATATTTTTGAATGAAACTAACTCTATGTGGAAGGTAAGCCTATACTACACATCCTCTATGATTATCAGCTCAGTATCTACCTAACTGTGGATTCTGTGTTCAATAATAATCGCAAAAAATGAACAAAATCGTTCATATCTCAGTTCGCGATTGATACATGTTTCGTATCCCAATATCCCTTCGGCGGCGCGCGCTTCGCGCGCGATAAGTGGCATGCAACGTATGTCAAGTTCGCGATATTTGCGAAACTGATTTCGCTCAAAACAATAGAACTCAATAGGGTTTCAATATTTTTACATGAAATTTTCAGAATCAACGTAGAATCGCATTTTGACCTTAAGTTTTGTATTGGAATTTTGAGTTAGGCCTTTAAAAAAATTTGGCGGCCAAATTCCAAAATTTGCCTGGCATTTTTCAGAATTTGGCCGCCAAATTTTTTTAAAGGCCTGTTAACCTGTTAACCCTTAACAGGTTAACCTGTTAACCTGTTAACCCTTAACAGGTTAACCTGTTAACAGGTTAACAGGTTAACAGGTTAACAGGTTAACAGGTTAACAGGTTAACAGGTTAACAGGTTAACAGGTTAACAGGTTAACCCTTAACAGGTTAACCTGTTAACCTGTTAACCTGTTAACAGGTTAACAGGTTAACAGGTTAACAGGTTAACAGGTTAACAGGTTAACAGGTTAACAGGTTAACAGGTTAACAGGTTAACAGGTTAACAGGTTAACAGGTTAACAGGTTAACAGGTTAACAGGTTAACAGGTTAACAGGTTAACAGGTTAACAGGTTAACAGGTTAACAGGTTAACAGGTTAACAGGTTAACATGTTAACATATAATGGTTGCTCTGCGAATTAACAAAGCAACGATCTCGTCAGGTTACTTACTAATACTTCGATGCGAAGTAAGAATGATAGTTTGCGCAACGCGTCGAAGCGGCGAAGTCCTCCAAATTAAGTGCAGAAGTTATAGACATATTTCATACGTATCAAATTAGATGTGCTTTCTGCCGATGGAGCTGCAGGGGATATAGCACGCGCATTTATACTAACCAGAGCCCTCGCGATTGCAGTATCTCTAGCTATGCATCTAGTAAAAAGACCCATGGTTTGATGGTTAGGTGAAATTAAATGGAACGAATGAAATTGTCAATAAAATATTTTCGAATTTTGACTAGGCACTTCTACAAAATTTACTTACGCAATTGTGCGGCCGGTGTGCACGTTTCGGTTGTCTCACTGCTCACGTCGCGATCCTCATTTTCATGTATCTTCATTTTAGAATCTTCTTAAAATTTGAAAGACTGTTCCTTCTGTTGGCTGCAAAGCTATGGAAGAACAAAAAAGCCACTCACTTGTGTGCAACAGCCACAGGCACACAGTAGGAGGTGCACCATAAAAATAAACTTGCTCGGATTTTAAAAATTTTTGTACCATTGTTTTCTAGAGACTGTGAGAATTTTCACAATACCAAATTTTTCATACCTTTTTGGAAAGATAAATGAGTTTTGCCTAGGTGCCATATTTGATGGTGCGCGGCTTTTGGAGCAAAATTAGCTGTAAAAGTCGCGTAATTTGACCAAATTTGACCAAATTCGTTGATTTTTGTCGTATTATTTGGATATATCTTCAGTTCCTTGAGTGAGATCATTCTAAAAATTGATGACGATCTTCCAATAGGGCTTTTACAACTGTCCGAAAAATTTGGTGGATATCGGAGTTGATATAGTGATCAAAATGGGGCAAAATACACTGCTTTTAGCTGTAACATAATGTTTGATGGTTGGATATGCTTTAAACTTTTCGGACACATTTCTTGTAAGTCTATGAGTAAGCTTACCAATTTTTGTTGCAATCAGAGTTCGGGAAGAATACTTAATATCTATTTGTTTGAAGAAAATTGTGCTGGCCGAAATTAGCGCTAAAAAACCATCCCACAGTCGGCACGCGCGGCTCACTGTCGATGGCGCACTACCTACACACAATATGTAATGTGGAGCAATTACCCGGTCCTCCCTATGCATTCAGAAACCCCTTTCTTAATTATCCCTATATTTAATTTGACCAAAACCCATAATCATAGAATGTAAGTTGTACTAAAAAAACTTTGGAATTCTAAGCTTAGGAAGTCTATCAAGATCAAAGTGTTTACAGCACTAGTCGAGTCGGTGCTGTTGTACGGTTCTTGTAGGTTTACAACCTACCAGGACGCGCGCCGAGTTGGACCAGATATTTTACGAGTATCACCCGTTAATACGGTTCCGAAACTTGAACTATGACGAAGAGGCATGGTTGATGGTTGCTATACGCGAATGGTAAGAATGGCGCTTAACATCAATCAATATCGAGACCATGTCTGCAACCACAGTCTGTACGGTGATCTTCCCAAAGTCAGCTCCAAGATAACCCAACGAAGGCTCAGACTCGCAGGTCATGCTCACCGACATCCGGAGCTGACATTGAACAAAGTGATCCTCCGGAAGCCGGGCCGAGTCATGGGCATGATACTAACAGGGGGCGACCTTACTTAACACTACTAGATAACCTAAAAGCAGATACTGGGCTGAAGTCAGTAGATGAGATAGCTAGACTGATGGAGGACAGAAAGCTGTGGAGAACTGTTGTCAATGGATCACGAGAACACTAACCGCCTTAAGTCAAGTAAGTCAGTGTATTCATAAAAAGTTGCAAAACTTTAATATTTCATTCAGCAATTTCTAATTTTAATATATTTCTGACTGCCAGCTGGTATTCGTGAATACAACATTTTTAAGAACAAAGAATACGACAAAAAATATTATAATGACAATGTCATGCAGTAGACATTTTTTCCCAAAAATCATGCACGTATTTGTAAAGTAAGCGACAAGCATGTGATTACAAAGACACAAATGTGATTACAAAAATTCAGGCTGAACATCCCCGGTAATTTCAAATTGTCCGATCTAATTTTTTAGATCACCAATAAATTTTTTAGGCCACTCCCATGGCCCATGGCCCCTGGTCCCATATTAATGATAAAAGTAAAAAAGGAAATGCAAACAGCAAAGAAGAGATAAGACTTAGAAGAAATGGCGATGAGATAATAATGATATTAATGCCAATGGATTTTGCAATATATTATTTTGCTTTCGTACCACTCTTGATTCCCTCTATCATCTATGCCTATTGGTTTCACTTTTATCTCACATAAATTATAATTATATGATATGTATATATATATTATATGATAAGTTGGGTATAATTGATAATGTAGATTGTCTAAATTAGACTTAAATGTGTTTTAGTCCCCGAAATCCAAATGTCCGTTGTAGCAGAAGAGATGTGCTGTAAATGTCAGAAGCTTCTCAATTATGAATTCCCACAATTGGAATTATCGGTAACATATTTGAGCAACTGAATCACCTCCTCTGTCATCTTTACTCCTACTAACTTTTCTGAAATAAAAGAATTTACAAACTATTAGTATTGTATACATTTGTAATGACCCGATCAGTGTTTAAATATCTAGCGGAGAGTTCGACTCTTGTTAGTGTTTCCCCTTTGTGAGGTAGGTTTCAGCCTGCTCTATATCCTATTATAAGTAAATTAGTGAAAGTAAAACGAATTTGATAAAATATAAAGATTTCTAATGACCACTTATCCCATCCCAAATGTTTGTCAATCTCCTTGCCATCTCCCGGGTAAAAACTTGGTTGAGATAGTTTTCAGAGTACAACATTGACCACGGCCTGTTTTCAACGGGGTCGAAGAAATCCAATAGTTTGATCAGCTTATCTGTGAGAGTGAATCCAACGAGTCTCTCTGAAATAATTGAGATTTGAGATTTGTAAATGTTATGTAACTGTAAGCAGAATGTTGTTGAATTTATAACCAAAAATTTGGAACTAATAGTCATACCGAGTAAACGATTTATAAACGATAAAAGCTGTTATTTTCGCCATTCAAAAAAAACTTTTACACCGTATTTTTACCTGCCGCATCTTCCCAGCTTGAGCGAAGCAGTTGAGCGTGTTCCGTTGTGAAGGTCTCGTTCAGGAATTGTTCTGATAGGAAGATATTCCAGTCCCAAGTATTGTTTTGTTTGGCCAGTAACCCCTTGAGCTCGTCCAGGGTCGCATTCAATTCTTGTCGGGTCTCCGTCAAGCCATCAAGTGTCGAATTCAGTTGTTCTCGGGTCTCTGTCAGCTCAACAATAGTCGCATTCAACTTTTGTCGTGTCTCCGTCAACTCATCAGCTGTTTCGTTCAGTTTCCTCTCTGCTCCTTCCAGCTTTGCTACCTTTTGATCAAATGATGATCCAAGTTGGACAAGGCACTCGTCTATGTATACGTCAGTGATAGTTCCGGTCCTTCTTAGCTTTACCAGTTCCTCCCATTTGATGACCCGAGAAGACTCGTGCTTATCTGTCTCTACATTACACATTCCCTTCTCCACTATACTCGCTATTTCGCTAGAGGACAGCTCTTTAGCGTACACATTGAGATACATCATCTCTCCATCAAAAGGATAACTACTACCGTACATTCCTAGAGTGAGCTCTCCACCCGTTTTCAGTGTCCTTCCTGCTGTTGTTTGTCGTGACCCTAACAGCACTCCATTCACGTAATAACTGTGAGACCTAGACTCTAGACTCCACGTACTACAGACATGATGCCAATGGCCTTTCGCTACAGAGAACTTGCTCTGTAGGTGTTGATATGATCCAAAGAGAGCTATGTGACTTCCATCGGTAAATATTATCAGCTCAGCAATACTATTATAATACATAAGGATTGTCCGGTATGATGATGACCCGATGTCCTTTACCCACCCACAGATCGAGAAGATGTTGGTGAGAGGACTCATGTCAGGACTGTACCGGATGTAGCTGTTACTAGAAAACTTCAGTGCTTTTATCTTATTTAAACTCCCTGTGGCTCCATCATACGGTGTGAACAGCAGAGTTACGATACCAAAAAACAGAAGCATGATAACTGTGAACGAATTGTAAGAGGGTACGGGAGAAATGGTAGGTTTTAGGGGAATCGGACAGCGTTGCTAAGCAATATTAATGAATACCAACATATATTAAACCGACCGATATATCATATTAAGATTACTGTTTATAAGGTCTCCTTATCTAGATGAACCTGCTAATATCTCAGCTGTTCTCATTCGAGTTCGACACTCCCACATTGTGAGGTGTCTCAGGTTACCTCCTGCCCGCTGAGTCAGACAGGAAGAACACCGCCACCCCACAAATATGCCCGGAGGTTTGTTGTTTAATGATATTATTTGATATATTATTATCGTTTATATAACTTTATTATGTAATAAACATTTGATGCGAATGCAGGTTTACTACAGGTTCATGTCTGTCCTTGAGGCCGTAGAGCAGACTGCAGTGTAAGTACCGATAAAAGTGCCCACTCGAGCTCAGCTGGAGCACATGATCATTCTGCGGATAGTGATGGATGGCAGTTCGCCCAAACACCTCCAATGAATAAGGTATCACCTGCATACGGATTTACAGCTCCATTCTCGTATGGAAGGAGTGTACCACTGTCATTCTGCCAACCTTTCTACCAGAACTCTTACTTCTCTCCGAATCTCCGCTCCCAGACAGGAGCCGGTGTCCCTGACTCCCTACTAGCCTCTCCAAAACAAGCTTTATGACAAATTGTCAAGAAATGAATCAACATTTTCCCTTAAATTAAAAAATGTCTTTACGTGATTCACATTACATTTACAAAATATTGTAATTTTTCACAGAACATAAACGAAGATTGCAATCAGGAGACCAGTCACCGAGTGGACAACATTGATGGAGTGACATACTGCAACTGAGTGCAAACTCGTGTTTATCTCCGCCGTCTCCTTCTTTATCCTCCGCAATTTCTGATCATGTTATTTATTTATCATTAATTTAGGGTTAAAAATGAGTTATTCAAAAATGAAGAGGGATGGATAATTAATGATATTATGGTACGGCACCAATTTGTCAGGCAGGTGGTAACCGATTGATGCAGTCACGAGGTACAGTCACTTGATAAATAACGTGACCAATATTAGCCAGCGAGAAGGACTGGATTTCATGCTTAAACAAAATTAGGTCTAATACACCGGAGAAAGGAGTTACTATGTGGTGCAGGCCACTCCAACGACTAGGAGGAGACCTTTTCAAGTACAAGTAAGTACAAAATTAGATTCTCAGCTCACAATTCATATCCTTACATATATGTAGTTTGAGAGAACAGCATGGGTCGGGTCTAACATAATATTATATTTTACTCCTTTTAGAACGCAAGCGTCTTCTTCGACATCGATATTTACGGAGTATTGTATTTGATAAATGTGATTTATTAAATACTCTACTCAATAAGTATCAATAACTAAATCGTCACGTGACAAAAGTGCGCTGTCCAATAGCAGTTAGGTAAGCTGTCATGTGGCAACCACGAGAGTAACACGATATGCTGATATGGTAGCAGCATGACAGGATTCTTATTGGACAATGAACACTTTGTGTCGGAAGAAGTTACAGTTTTTTGCCAATTTGACACGGCAAATTGGCAAACCGCACCGTCACGAAAGATCGCAATCAAGTTCCCTAGTGCCCCCTTGCACTCTGGGTGCACTGCATCTCCATTATCCTCTGTATCATCCACCCCCACACCAGTAATTACAGAACCAGAATCACAATTAGAACCCTCACAATTACAGCCTCTATCAGGCTTGCACTCGAAATCGTGCCTGTTTTCTAAAGAACTGGTCGTGTATATATATTGTGAAATGTGACTTCTGTAATACATGACAGAGCATCTTTTTTACTTTAGTACTTTTGGAGCAGATAATACCCCTTGTATTTGGTGATTATAGTGATACCAGGTGTAATTCCTTGTCAAGCACATTTAGACAATCAACACATGGATGTTCATCACTTCTGTTCAAATATTTTATTTCAAGTTCTATCTCACCCTCGAACGGCCGTTCTCGAGATTGGTGAACGCTGATTCCGAATCACCCCACATGATAAGATGCTCCCCTGGTGAATTATCGGCGAAAAACTGTTTTGATCACGTGCCATTACAATATAACTACATATAAGAAATTGTGTCTAATTTCTCGTTGGGGTTAGGGTTTAAGCAAACACTTCAGTTATGGATCGGGTTAGGGTTAGGTTTGCGGTAAGATCAGTGGAGGATTATAGCTTTGAATAACCCCTCAGGGCTATTTACAGAACGTGTTTAAATAAATCACGTGAAAGTCGAGTGTAGAGTGATTCATCATTATCCGAAATCATGTATCTAAATCATCAGTTAACTCTCTTAGTCTCAGCTATACCATATACTAGCGTGCCTTGTCGTGGATCGAACTATTTATAAAATCATTTAAACTACCCAACTACTGAACCAACCATTACTCAGGTACTCAACAGTGGTAGCGGTTAAATTCATAATACGAGATCCTCATCTCTGTTCATCTCCTCTACTAATTAATATGTGTAATTATACGGCCAAACTGAGATTATCTACTCACCGTTCAAAAAGAGAAATAGTGTCAGGATTCCGATGGAACAACTACGCACTTAAACTCGATGATGTGGTTTTTGGTGTCAATATTTAGTAGCCTGCTAGCCTGGTTTGAAATTGTAGCTCATAATCTTGATGATTTGAAAAACCGAACCTCCTGCAGGCTCATTTCTAACGTATTTCTTCGCCAGCCCTTTTCCAATTCAAGAAGGACAATGAAAATTTGTATCTAGGCGAAATCGATTTTATTTTCATTTATCCCAAAGACAAAATGTTAAATTGACTCCCCGGCCCCCTGCACCCCACCACCTCTGTACAAAGAATCGTTTATACTGTAAACTCATAAAGTACAGCATACTCAGCACATTAGAAATCTTTGATCCATTGTTCCCGTAGAATGGTAACGATTCGAAAGTTGTTTGAACCTTATTCCAGCAGTGCTAATACTTGTGTAGTCATTGTGTAATACATGGGTCTCACCACACAACAACACAACAACACACAACATAACAATATAACAACACAACAAGCGCATGGTTGTCGAATGTTTCAGTATTGTACAACTCTCGTCCAGTATTTTACGGTTTTTTGTTTGTTCCCGAGGAATTGAAAGCTTTCCCAGAAAACAGACAAAACTCGTATTGAATTTTGCTCACAGACTTAGCTTCTCTTGAGACTACATTCTATATAATAGAATACCTATATGCTATATAGTAGTAGAATATAAGTACACACACTATCTCCACCACCCCTAATTATGACTTATTGCTAACTAACTAATACTCCTAATTATGAATTAGTAGTAACTTACTAATATTCCTGCTCAGTTTCTAATATTCCTGCTCAGTTTCTAATATTCCTGCTCAGTTTCTAATATTCCTGCTCAGTTTCTAATATTCCTGCTCAGTTTCTAATATTCCTGTTCAGTTTCTAATACTCCTGCTCAGTTTCTAATATTCCTGCTCAGTTTCTAATACTCCTGCTCAGTTTCTATAATAGCCTCACTTACTGCTAACTAACTAATATTCCTGCTCAGTTTCTAATACTCCTGCTCAGTTTCTACTACTCCTGCTCAGTTTCTTATAACCTTGCTGAAACGAACCATTGCATTTATGCTCTATCTTTTGTTTTTCTACCAAAATTCTGCTTATTTTATAAAAGGTAATTGGGAACCACAACCAAAAGCTGCTCACCCGACAGTTCAGTGACCCGTGTCGAATATCAGTTGCTGAACTTTAACTCTTAATTGAGAGACTAAATCATCAATTAATCCGATTGGTTTTTAATTTTTTTCCTATCCTTCGTACCATGTCCTGAATTTTCTAGAATCTAATTATACATCCAGGTATCTCTGTTGGGTACATAACATAATATTACTTTGAGAATCATATCTCAGACCTATTCGCTTCCGAACAAAATAATGTTTATCTAAACTGCACCTATAAATATAATGTAGATCTTAATCTTAACTCAACGGAGGCTGGAAATAATCTTATAGCCGTTTAGTTGAACAGTCAAACGTGACTACATAATAACATCGATTTGGGATTAAGGTACAAGTTTAACTCCGGTCTTAATTCTGTCGGCTTTATGTTTCTCCAACCATTTAAGTGATAAGGAATAAATTACGTTTATTGAGCTTCCCGGACCCCGGTCCTGGATCCTGATTACTTACTTATACACTTTTTATTTATACCAATTAATAGCTTAAGCTTTGCCTAGCTTTAAATTTGTTTACCTATCCCCCAAATCAATATTACATAATTATGGATGGTAAGTCCGCTAGTCTGTACTCTGTATACATATTATAAAATTACAATTTGCAATTATCATCAGAACTTTACCTCACAGTCGGTCGTCCTAAATTCTACACTTTTGAGAATCATTTTTGTCGTGTTAAAACCCGCATAATTTATGTAAGGCTATAAAATCGAGAGGTGTGTCTAACTTGTCGCATTGAAATAGTACAATGTTTGCTAAATAAAAGTTATAATAATATAATAATAATAATAATAAGTTATATAATATACACTTTGTGATTGTTTCTCCTGTTTTTGTTCCCTTGCACTGCAAGCCCTGCCTCTTGTAAAAACAACCACTTTTGTAGATACACACATTCTCTACGCCTTTATCGGTTTATGGTCCCTAGGGTCAGCTGACTCCGGGCCAGAGGAAAATTACCGATAATTGCCATTTGCCAAGGTTTGATACCTATGCAGTCGAGACCTCTTATTGAGACCCGATATAATAATAATATAATTATTTGAAAAACTAACCGACTTTAAACTAGCGGAGTACTTTTTGTAGACTTGAAGTATGCACCTCCTTTTATACAGTCACCATTGCATAGTGCAGACTGTTTACAATAGATAAAGAAACCCGACTTGGCTCCCTTAGTGCCTGTCTTGGCGCCCTAAGTGACTTTCTTTACCGTATCCTTGTGGTTATTCATATGGGCAAAACTACAGGACACAATAACTAAGGGACATAGTTCTGATTTAGACTACTTCAGCAATCAGCATATACCATATATACATACCACATATTGTTATTACAAATTGGCATCCCCCCCCCCTCTTTATCCTTCTTTTGTAGAATCTTCTATGAGATGTAATTTTCAGATTCGTCCACGATCGTAGAGTCCTCTCATTCATGAGACGCTTCTTCATCTTGATAGCTGGTAGTTCATTTTCCGTTCAACAGAAAATGTTCTCATGAGTTACGATCTTGAATAGTGTGAGATGCTATCATGTGCAGTAAACCTTTACTTACAGTTTACAGGTCGTATATTCACGCATGCTTATTATTTTGTTGCACCCTTGTTTTGCTAGTGACCACCTGCCGCGCCCCGGTGAGTGATCAGTGAGCCCCTTTGTCGCCCACTGCTGCAGCGCAATAATCTGGTTCTGACACGTTAATTAGCCTAGATTATTAATCAACCTGGTCCTTTGTATTTTGTAACGTGAAATACAATACGAGCATTTATACTGGTACAGTAAGTCTTTGTTTCCAGATACATTCTGCTCATGTTGGATGATTCGATGTTTTGTTGTACCGTGATCTACGAAGCCCGACTGCATCCCATTCTTGTTGGTGATTGTTGTTTCTGACGAATGACACGTATTATGAACAGATATTAGTCAACCAGCTCCCAGCAATGCAGCATTGTCCAATCGAAATCCCAGAATCACATATATTAGGACGCAATGAAACTACCGGACCACGATGTATGGGGATTGGGGACTTGCCACCCCATGGCAACATTAAAATATATCGACTCTGTTACATCGTTTCCTCAAATTATTTGTTATATAGTAGTGTGGAAAGTATTAAAATATGTCATGTCATAACCAGTACGGTTACTTATTGTCTAGTTCGTGGAGTTCAGCACCTTTTAGGGGTTCGTTTTCCCGAACTGTGGTGGGGACTGCAACTGCATTACAAGTGTGGCATAGCAAGGTTATGCTTCAGTATTAAATTCGGTGTGATTATACCGTTTACAGACTACAGGCTGCCCTCTGGAGGGTGGGGGGGGGGGGGGGGGGGGGGGGCAATATCAGTGACAGTTATCAAAAGCATAAAGTTCAAAGATTCTAACTAAGTAACTAATGCTTCAATCAATCGCACATTTTTTTTACGTGCAATACATTCGAGGACTATTATATGTGAACCCAATACCCATACGGGAAGAAGAAATGAACAGAGTGTGACTGAGGAAAGAAGTAAGGTCCGTAGTGTGAGGGTAGTCAATAGCAATAGAATATATTCAGGTTCTCATATTGGATATTGGACTCTTCTATAGTTTGGATTTTGGGATCGATCAGTTCCACTGAGGTGAACTCTATCCACAGCACCCTGCCAAAGCAAATCCCTTTTGATAACTTGATAAAGGGATGTAATGACAAGTTGCTACAGTCGCGGACGGTAGATCCTTTACCAAGCTTGATTTGCACCTGCCTTCGTAATAATCACATGAGTCAGTGCTAAACAGTGAACACTAATATAACAGCTCCGACAATTACTAATTATAATCAGTGATTATATGTGCAGCTGGAGGGTCACAATTTTACAGGTATTTACTTTATGGGCACCTGTGATTGTAAGATTGTAAGAGCCTTAAAGTTAGAGTACATCTTTCAAGTTGATAAACTCATCATTCCACAGTATTAACATGTTATGTTTGATATCAGATATTCGAGTTACGCTACATGAAAGTGTATTAACTTGATGTCACCGTTTTTCTGGAATCGTTAAGATGAACTATTGGATATTAGCTCACCTCGTTGCCACTTTCATCATAGTTACTCGACAAGGTTTGTTTGTTCTTTTAAAAAAGGTTCTTTTGTTTTTGGATGTTGATCAAAGTTAAATTCAACGATTGTTATGCTATATCATTATTATAATTCAAAGAATTATGTTATTATAATTTATCATTATTATAATTCAAAGAATTATGTTCTGTCCACGTGAAAATTTTATGAGAAATGGAAGTTGCATAGCAACCATGGTAATTGTTGTACAAAAGCCTACGTGCAAATTGGATGAGAAATAGGAAGCTGCATAGTAACCATGGTAACGGTGTTCAAAAGCGCACGATTTGCGAGCGACATTCTGATCGGTTTTGTGGTAATTACGTTGTGTTCAGTGCGAGCTACATTTTAATCGGCCATATCTTCGGTTGTGACGGATTTTTTTTGATGCAATAAAAACTCACTACCACAGAATACTATTACTTTCCTCCCTGTGACCACGGGCTTTCTATTAGCTATATAAAACCCAATTTTTAACGTTTTATTTCTTATCAAAGCAATTTTACAAGTTCACTTATTCAAAATTATTCAGGCCCTTATATTGTAAGATTTTATATCCACTAAACATTAGCATAAATATGGTCTGTTTCCGATGCTTCCCCGGCACGAACCTCCCACTTTCCTCTTGGTCGTTCACTCCCACTAAATCTCCGTCTGTAATCAGTCTTGTCCGGGACAAGTCTCTCAGTCTCTGTACCTGTCCCCTCGTGTTGATGCTCTGCTCTCCTAACACACTTGATGATCAAGTAAAGTAAAGCTGACATAAGGGCTGCCCCTCCAACTACACCTCCCCAGATATAATACAGAGTTTTAGAAGCGGAGACACAGTAGCCCTCACCAGTACCCTCCTCAACACTACAATCCTCGCCATTACAGCTCACTCCATTGCCGCCCCACTTGGTAGCTCGGCAGGCTGGGAACCCTGTGCCGTTGTGGGAGCAGTAGTTGTCCTTGTTGTCACACTTCAGACTCATCTCCTGAAACTGACTCGTCCCGTTACACTTCTGATCGTAACACTGCCAGGAGGCCGAACTGCTCGAACAGTACGCTTCCCCAGAGTCCTGATCATATCTACACTTGAATCTGCCCTTACAGTTCACACCGGTTCCTTCGGAATTGGGAACACAAACTGGGTATCCAGTCTTGTTGTAGCTACATTTGTTAACTGAGTTGTCACAGGGTATCAGGATGTTAGTGTAGTTTGTGGTTCCTTTACATTTCTTGTTGTGGCAGCTGAGTGACGCTGCTGAGAGAGGAAGGAGAAGTAGCCATGCTGCCGTCAATAACATCCCTGTAGAATTGCATATTAACGAGTGAATCGTTTTACAAATCCGAACAGTGAACATGCGACATATTGATCAAGTCAAAGTTTACAATCACAAATACAATATTAAAAGCCAAGCAGAAATCTGATTTTTATCATACAAAATACTGACGAAAGCTTTGGTGTTAAATTACATTCTACATTATTAAATGCCAAGCGCAGCCAGAAGGTTCACTTGACTATGTTTCAGAGGAAATATCTGACTGTGTTGCTGGTGAACACTATGATACTACAAGCAAATCTTGTAATCATTGCAAGACAAGGACCTACAGTGAGGACGCATCTAGAAACTGCCTCAGTTGTCCTGGAAACGGAAGATGCTGTGAGCCATTTTATTCTAACTTTAATTTTGATCGCAGTGAATGCACAAAACTTACACCACGCCACTATTTATTGACATGATACATGGTGCTTTACTCTAGCGAATATTTATCAATATTAATTTCAAAGAGTTTTCTTCCAGTTTGTGACACAACAAGACTAGAAGTGTACGCTCCGGGAGGTAAAGCTGCCCATTCTTACAAGAATTGCTCAGAAAATGGAAACTTGCGTTGCTCTCTCGGTTGCTACACAGCAGCGACAAGGGCTCATGTGGTAAAATTGTGCCTTAACTTTCTCAATCTGTATCACTGAATCTCTGAGTGGATGTTATAACTTAATAAGAATAGGTTTTTGGCGATGGTTTTAAAAGACAGATTTACGTCAAAATCAGGGTCATATAGCTTGGATGTGTTTGTCCAGAGTATGCTTTAGGGTATGGATGAGCGAAAGCCGAAAAGACTAGCATCTGGGACAAAAATTATAACTTAGGACATGCCGGGTTAAACCCTTTATAATATTATAATATTTTTTCTTGGATATCTTTACATTTGCAAGCTCCATTGATTCCTTCATGAAAAGTAACATTTAGATTGGATGTATGCCATAAAGAAAGCTTTTAAAACTAATCCTTCGCTCACGAGTTTTGTTTTGCAGGATCCAGAAACTGGAAGCTTACAAAACTTGGCAAATATTTTGCCATGCAAATGTGAAAACCCTAAAACGAGGGAGACTTGCCAGAAAACCCAAAAATTTGCAAGGAACTGCTTCCAAAATGGTAAAACATAACTTCATCAATCATCATATTGTCATAGTCATGATCTAACTCATTTTAATGTTCTGACGTAGAAATTGTATTTCTGTCGCTTATACCCTTACAATGAATTTCAATTATGAACTGGAATATTTCAGCTATTTAATATACTATTACTATCTACAATCGAAACAAAGAAAACTAACGATTCAATTGTTATACTTTACTTTACTCCGATCTCAAAGCGCCTATCTAATATTAGCTTATTAGTTTATTAGTATAGTACTCAGTAAATTATTTATATGGAATATTATTACTGCAATTTGTGCGTTATTTGTTCGTGATTGCAGTAATACTAATAGTATTTCCGTTTGTTAAGTTATAAAGCAAAATAATGACCTCGCAGAGTGTGACGGTGGAAAGCACTACATGAATTCCACAACAAACGAGATACTATCATCATGCTACCAAGATTATAAAGATAAAAAGTCATGCGGAGAAGCTCAGTGTGATGCAGTGAGGCCTTACATACAGCGTCTAGCATCCTGCAACTGCTATCATAGACATGGTGACATAGTGTCAAGACGTAGAAACTGCGCAGGTATTTCCGTCATTGAGATATCGTTTAAAAAAGTTATACAGAAAATCCGGTTTACCGATAGGCTCGCAGATAAGAATTAAATTCTTAGATTGGTACTGTAAAACCAGATATTTTAATGCACGTTTTTTTTAATGAGTGCAAATACCCTTCCCCAACTGAATCAATATTACAATTGAAACACAAGGAAGTATTACGCTCGCTTCTTTATAAACCAACTTATGCCTTAAGTAGCAAGACAGAGTCGCTCTACGCGAAGTAACGTCAAGTATAAACCCTTAGCCTAAATTTCTTGTCAAACTGCTTCTTACTTTTTTATATTACAAAACAAGGATGAGGAAATTTTGATCCAGCTCCCTCCACTGACCAATACAGCCGGATTTTAGGTTTTCCGTTTTATATCGGTCGCCTATCGCACCTATCAGATGCATATCGGTGAACCTAAAATTTGCGAATCACCCAAATTCGGTTTCGTGTCTTTTCGTCCACTATACAGCAAGCTTTTAAACACACCAAAATTATTACCTATATCTTGCCAACCATTGAAAATTACATTGAATGGAAAGACTTTGTTTAAACGGACATTATTAACACCTCCAGCGTCCATTCGTCCAAATAATGTCTGTCCAAATGAAGTCCAATAAGATATAATAACAATGTCCGTTTAAACAAGGTCTGTCACAATCAACGGCGGCTGTGGTAGCATTATAAACTGCAACGAAAAAAACAAAGTACAATTTATGCTTTTTGAATTTTATTCTGTACCAATAGTCGATAGAGAATCCGCTGCACTGAATTTGCATTTACGCAACAGCTCTGGGCACTACTTGAGAACACGAACAATAAAAAGTGAAGAAAATGTAGTCTCGATGTTAAAGCTGCAATGTTATGTCGAGTCTCTTTGATGTAAGCTGAAGAAGATTTACACAAGTATTTTGAAAGCTCCTGCTTTTCGATCGTATCACTTATATGTTTTGAACAACCCCTCCAGGCTTTGACGTAATGCTTCATAATTGAAATGCTAACGCAGCACTTGCAAGAAATCAATCGGAAGAATTAAATTCGGGCACGTGCCAATGAGGAACAATCTTGGATTTGTCCGATCGTTTCACAAGTCTGACTAGAAAATGTAATCTTTCATTGTTGTTCTGATAGCTGAAATAGGGTAGAACAAAGGCTGCGAGGCTGGTCAACTCATATAGTTATAAGTTGGGCTGTTGCTTTGTTTACCAAATCAACTATAGCATATTTCAATCAACTGAATTTCTGATCGTACTGCAACATACTCGATTGACCGTACAAAAATATTTTTTCAGCTCTGAACGAATTTTACGGGGATCTGGAAAAGAACTGTCAAGTTGAAATTGGTCTGAACTTCAGGTTTATCAAACCTTTAGCAGGATCAGCAGTGATCGTCTTTTTAATTATTGCTGTCGGACTCGGACGCTATTGTGCTGTAAAGTATGGACGAAATTGTAAGTTTTTATTTTTTACCCAGTCAATCATTTACTAAAATTTCTGGTTCGATCTCAGCCAGAAATGCCCGGTCATATGGTTTGCGTGGCTTGAGATAATTTTGCAAGTAACAATGCGTTGACAATGAAACTGGTGAAAATGAAGTCCTGCAACCTTTAAATAAAAATTCCACGATCTTCCATACGCCACTTTTCATTTTTAATTTTATCATAATTTTATCATAATTATAGTTTATGATGATTTTTTTGCTTCAGTGAAGAAAAGTGGCAACCTCGGAAAAATGAACTCCTATATCGAATGGAACAAAATAGAGGCTCTAGGTTTAGCAGGATTTGCAATTAAGTCGGAGAAAACTGCTAATCTACTCTCCGACAGAGAGGTATTTTAAAAGACTCTAGTTAGTTTAGCTGTGGATGTGCATTGCAAGCAAACTTTCCCATTCTGATCATGACAAAAGCTTATACCATTTCCCCATTTTTCATCAGATAATCCTGAAAGCGAGGTTTGGAGTCATGAATGGGTTTTATGGAGGTAAGTTCGTCAGATCTCAGCATGTGGTTCTAAAAATCTTCTCAGAATCCCAGTGTGAGCAACATGGGATGGAGCTTAAAGTCATCAACTCCATCTTCAACAAATCACAGTATGTTCTTGGGAATCATAAATATGTTATTTTTTTCCATAAAATGTTTCAATATTTGATCGCTGACATGACGATCGCTTTAAATTCCCAGGTCTCCGAGTTGTCTGGTTAAGTCTAGTCTGGTTTACTAGTTTAGTGTAACATAACTCCATCCTCATATCTCCATCTCAGAGCTAAAGATTGCAACATAATATCAGTGTACGGACCAGCCAGTGATTCCAGTAACCGAGACTTAGTGCAGTTCCTCCAGTTACTCATCTCCAAGTCGGAGATTTGCAAGAATTTGGTGGGCGTGATTGAGAGATGCTATCTGGGAAAAACAGAGGACCAACTCATTACTCCTCCTCGCTGCAGGTTCTACAAATTGAATATCATAAAGTCTTACACACTTATATATTTTTGCCCAAATATTATATCTAATAATGGAACTTAGGACTTGATCTATCCCAAAATGTGCATCCTGAGACCCACAAAGTTATCATAAATGGTAGTATTGCTACGGTTACAATACCTTATATTATGGTCAATATTAAGCATCATAATGTCAGGTACATTATGATGAACCACTGCAACGAATTGTCGCTCTCCAAGTTCATGTCTCACAAAGAATGCCTATCTCCTGCCACTGTCCTGCAGATTTGTCGTGATCTTGCTAAAGCACTGGACTTCCTTCACAAGGTTGATCTTTATTCCAATTTATTGACTGCTATAAATTTAAATTCTATAAAAAACATGGAAGAAGTTTTTATTAAAATTTGTGGATTTGCGTGTTTCCACAGCAGATGCAGAAAATTTTAATCTAACAAATAAAACTAAAAGTGAAGCTCACTCGTTATTAATCAATTTGTATCGCAAATTCATGACAACAACAATTCCAGAAGAACAGAAGAGGAAACCAACACAAGATCATCATACACTGTGACATAAAGCCAGACAACATATTCGTGAAGGCGCGTCTGAAAACATCCTTTATTCTGGGAGACTTTGGGTTTGCAGTGGCTTTGAGTCCTGGAGAAGTGTTCACACTGAAGGGTAGCACCCCCTCCTTCCTCCCCCCTGAATGGTTTGTTCAACTGAGGGATGGTGTGAGTTACAGTGACGTACAGAAACAGAACATTACTGCACGTGCTAACTTTCCGTGTAAAATAGATATTTATCAGTTTGGACTTATTGTCTGGCTCGCCCTTCATAAAAAGTCAGATGTATGGGTGGATGAGTTTCAGAAAATAAAATCGACCAATCCCAAAATTAAGAAGCACGAATTCCTCCACGAAATGTTTTCGAACCATGAAACGTACAGTACCAGGCCCAGCTTTGCAACTAACGCAAACCCACTGTATGGTAAGCTGAGAAATCTTGCTCAAATCTGTTGGCAAACACATGTTCAACACAGACCGTCAGCTGGGGAGATTTTAGCAATCTTATCTGATACGGACGAGGCTGTGACCCAAGTTTGAGTGCCTTGTCCAGATCTTGGGACCAGAATTGGACACTCTGACTTAAGATATGCAGTGAGGTTAAAATGCGCAGCAGAACAATCAAAAACAAGTAATAAACTTGGTTACAGTTACCGTAAAGATCACCGGGAAATAGATCCAAACCAATAAATGAAACTTCTGATAGCTATATTTGACCAAAACCCATAATCATGGGTAGAGTGGACCGCTGCCAGTGTCTCTCTTTCCCAAACAAAAGGAAATGATATTAATTTGATTGACCGTTCTCAAATGCAAAATGATACCGAGAATGAAATCGGTCGCTCGCTTTTCCCATTCATTCACGGCTTACGAATTGTATAAATAAGTTTCGATTGATTACATCAATCAGATGCTGTAAAAATCTCTTTGAATTTGGGTTGCGTTCGGGTCGATACCTAGTATTTCGGGGTAAGGGACAAGGGTGGTAGTTATTACTTATTGAACAAGCTGAAGTTTATTGAATCTTCATTGCCGAGTACAGCTGCCTTTGGGTAGTTCTTCTTAATCTATTAGGTACAATTGTAAATGAATGGGAAAAGCGAGCGACCGATTTCATTCTCGGTATCATTTTGCATTTGAGAACGGTCAATCAAATTAATATCATTTCCTTTTGTTTGGGAAAGAGAGACACTGGCAGCGGTCCACTCTACCCATGATTATGGGTTTTGGTCAAATATCATCTCTTTTTGATTATAAAGTCAGGGTACTTTATAAAGTCGAAATATAAACTGATATCTTCATTAATAAGGAGGAAGTTTCAACAATTTCGAAATTTTTCCTTTAAAAACATTTCCTTGTGTTTAGGTAAGCATATCGGTCGATCACTGACTGAATATGCCACTTAATACTCATTCAAGTTGGCATTAAATTCATTTATAATGACATTAAACTGTCGTGGCAAAGCAGAATTTGTTGGAAATCACGAATGAGCAAAATTGTCACCTTTCGCACGTGCAAACTTTGAGCGGACGTTGCGTGCGCATCCAATATTGAATCGCCGTAAATTTTTGCATGTAATTGTTTTATATATAGCTTGATAAGCATGCGAAGTTTCAAAGTATTTCAAGAAGAAATGTAATCACAACGGCACTCTAAAGTTGACAGAAAATGACGAAAACAGCAATTTTTAGTGATTTTAGCAATTTTTAATTCTACATGGCGTGTTTATCCCCACGTGTGGTAATCTATTTTCTAGTTTATTGTAACATTAATCATCCTCAAATCATTCAGACTAAAGATTGCACAATATCATGTAGACCTAGCAGTGATTCCAGTAACCGAGATTTAGTGCAGTTCCTCAGTTACTCATCTCCAAGTCGGAGAGTTGCAAGAATTTGGTGGGCGTGATTGAGAGATGCTATCTGGGAAAAAACAGAGGACCAACTCATTACTCCTCCTCGCTGCAGGTTCTACAAATTGAATATCATAAAGTCTTACACACTTATATATTTTTGCCCAAATATTATATCTAATAATGGAACTTAGGACTTGATCTATCCCAAAATGTGCATCCTGAGACCCACAAAGTTATCATAAATGGTAGTATTGCTACGGTTACAATACCTTATATTATGGTCAATATTAAGCATCATAATGTCAGGTACATTATGATGAACCACTGCAACGAATTGTCGCTCTCCAAGTTCATGTCTCACAAAGAATGCCTATCTCCTGCCACTGTCCTGCAGATTTGTCGTGATCTTGCTAAAGCACTGGACTTCCTTCACAAGGTTGATCTTTATTCCAATTTATTGACTGCTATAAATTTAAATTCTATAAAAAACATGGGAGAAGTTTTTATTAAAATTTGTGGATTTGCGTGTTTCCACAGCAGATGCAGAAAATTTTAATCTAAAAAATAAAACTAAAAGTGAAGCTCACTCGTTATTAATCAATTTGTATCGCAAATTCATGACAACAACAATTCCAGAAAAACAGAAGAGGAAACCAACACAAGATCATCATACACTGTGACATAAAGCCAGACAACATATTCGTGAAGGCGCGTCTGAAAACATCCTTTATTCTGGGAGACTTTGGGTTTGCAGTGGCTTTGAGTCCTGGAGAAGTGTTCACACTGAAGGGTAGCACCCCCTCCTTCCTCCCCCCTGAATGGTTTGTTCAACTGAGGGATGGTGTGAGTTACAGTGACGTACAGAAACAGAACATTACTGCACGTGCTAACTTTCCGTGTAAAATAGATATTTATCAGTTTGGACTTATTGTCTGGCTCGCCCTTCATAAAAAGTCAAATGTATGGGTGGATGAGTTTCAGAAAATAAAATCGACCAATCCCAAAATTAAGAAGCACGAATTCCTCCACGAAATGTTTTCGAACCATGAAACGTACAGTACCAGGCCCAGCTTTGCAACTAACGCAAACCCACTGTATGGTAAGCTGAGAAATCTTGCTCAAATCTGTTGGCAAACACATGTTCAACACAGACCGTCAGCTGGGGAGATTTTAGCAATCTTATCTGATAAGGACGAGGCTGTGACCCAAGTTTGAGTGCCTTGTCCAGATCTTGGGACCAGAATTGGACACTCTGACTTAAGATATGCAGTGAGGTTAAAATGCGCAGCAGAACAATCAAGAACAAGTAATAAACTTGGTTACAGTTACCGTAAAGATCACCGGGAAATAGATCCAAACCAATAAATGAAACTTCTGATAGCTATATAAGTATATAGGAGCACGACGAGATAGTATAAATAATACTTACCCAGGTGATAAGGGCCCTGGTTCAGTGAATCAGCTGCTCTAATATTGACAATGTTAATCCCTTATTCTCACAAGACGAGGATATAATATAATGTGGAGCTCTGCGATTATCATGAGTAGTCCATACACGGACTATAGCTATATTTTAATGTTTAACTTTTTAAATCTTAACGATTACAGCATGACATTTTTGTGGTTTCATTGTAAATTTAAATTTACATCAACATATTACATTAGAATTAATTACAATATGATTAATATTTATGTTAACTGCTTTTGTGTTTCGTATTTAATTTCATTTCATTTAATTTGTTTGCTTTTTCAGATTGACTGCTGATACCCGCGTTTACACCTTTTTATTTCAATGTCTAAGAAACTGGTGCTTAATTTTCAAATGATATGGAGGTGTTTGATTGGCCCACAGGCACAATGTCCGTAATAAAGTGCACTGCAGTTCTACTTTTATCTGTTCTTATCCTTGGTAATTGTATTCACTGACTCGATAAAAATTGTTGAAAATTTTGATGACGTCACAATTCACTGCTGGCTTGATAACAGTGTTAAAGTTGGAACTAGCTGCAGGTCACCAGCGGAACATATGCTTCCGGCTCAGGATAGTATTACCACAATTCTACTGTTGGGGGGATCAGTAATCCTGTAATTGTCAGAACTGGAAAACACTGTCCGCCGGGACTTTGAATCTTTATAGGTGCAAGGACGGACAATATTTTCTATGGGGAAGTCTTAATTAATTTGGGTTTGTGAATGAAGCGCACTTTATCAATAAACCATTCATGAGGATGATTATTTTCTGTCTCTTTTTCTTTTAATCGGTGCATGCAGATGCCCCTCACTTTGTAGAATGGTAACAGAAGTAGTGTTTTTTTTTTAGTGTTGTAATTTGATGTCTAAGAGTAATCAGACAGTTCAAGGTTTACACTCAATTACATTGTTATCACCTTTTTAGAATCAGATGAAAAACCATAACCGCTTATCAGAAACCTTAGATCATGTAGGACTAGGAAAATTGTGATTTTTGTTAGTTTGCTCTTTCATATTTTGATATTTTTCTGTGAATGTTAAAAGATCCAGATTAATATTTCAGAGGGGCCGACGCTTTTTTCCCGAAATTTAGGTCTCTTAAACGAAAAATCGTCCTATTAAGCAGGAAATTTACCATGTCCCGGCTAGCTTAACGTTCGGTCGATAAATATTTGGGTACAGAAAGCTCAAGGAGGGGAGGGGGAGGGGGGCAAAAAGCTGTAGGAGGCACCAAAAGAAGACCTGACCTTTGTTTTTTATTTTTTGTAGTGTGTAGTGGCGCCAAAAAATTTCTGAGGGGGGGAGTGGCTCCAAATGGTAACATTACGCCACTACTCGCCCCTTCACTACTTCCGTATTGGTACTAAAAATGTGTCCCTGTTATGTGTCATGAAAGTGACGTAGTATACCAGCACGAGTGGTCTCCAGATTACTCAGACTGTGAAACTCTAGATGCTGGATCAGACCCGCACTGGGAGGGTGCATGGTCTGAGACCTGGCAGGCATGTCAAATTACAACTCAGATTTTGTTTTTTTCGTTAAAGTTTGTTATATCGGTATATATATTGGATATGACCCGGAGTTTCAAGATAAGAAGCAGCGCAGAGAAGGCAAGCAGGCGGCACTCTTCCTACACTCGGAGTAGTATTCCCAGCGTCACTTTCAGTAATGTTCCCAACCAGTGTGATTGTGAGTCATTGGTTAAATGATTTAGTTTAGTCAAGTATTTTTATTGCTTTTCTCTGATGGAAAGCAAATTTGTTTCCTAATGTTGCCAACTTGTTTCAATTTTACTAAACTGCTTCTAGCAAAGCTAAAGTTGAAACCAACCAAGATCTAAGATTAGCTTTCTAAACGGTAAGCTTTTTAAACGATTTATGGAACCCAGAGTTTTTCTTTAACTGTCTCCTACTACAAGCATTAGCATTAACTGTTTAAGTGATTAATTGTGGCCCTAAATTTTTTCCATTTTTAGCGCTGTCTGAACAGTTTTCTAACCACACCCTCTTTAACCATGATCCAAGCAAACTCCGCTGTTTTGTAGATACTTTAAATTTCCAGGACTTTAGAATTACTTTTTTAAAATATACTGATTATCTATTGGACTGCAAGAAACATTACTATAATTATAATTACCGTATCGGTGACAGCGTGAAACAAACACGTAATTATAACTTTATAAGAACATTCCACGTAGAAAAAGAAAAATTTTGACTTGCACTATTTGACTTTCCTAAAGTTAAGGAGGAAAATACTTTGACGCACCGGCCCTATTTGAAGAAGCGAAGATTCATTTCAAAATGGAGGAAAGGGATTAATGTGCTGTGAACTTATAGGTAATTTTGGAGCACTGATATGCTGGAAATTTCTTACTTAAGTAGTAAGGGAGTTGAGGTAAGGAGGAGTTGATGTAAGAAGGAGTTGAGGTAAGAAGGAGTTGATAAAATTACATTTAATTTAATTTTTCTGCGATTAACCGGCAATTTTGGGTAATATATATTGACAGGGAGTTTTGCATGAATTTACCTAAAAAAGTATTAAATTTAATCTACTTAAGTTACATCCTGAAATTGACTTTTTAATTAATCGGCATTTATGCCAATTCTCAAAGAATAAAGTTACGAACAAATGAAAATTTGAAATATATTGTCCTCCGATGTCACTAATTTGATAGGGTACCCAACAAATGAGGTTTTAATATGATCATAAGGAACCAGCGGTATAATTATAAATAAGAGCAGAGTTATATTTCATAAATTTAGCTTACAATTTAATCTCACTACTTATTATAATTCAATGATGAATGATAAATGTGTTTACCCTTAAAGTTATTCAACTTCGGTTTCAGGAAGCCATACTTTGAGCTCCACTCTGTGACGATTAAATATGCTATCAAATGGAGCTCTTCTCAGAGCTCATAACCGTGTAGCTCGTTATATTTGGTAACCTAGTACTGTGGTAGGCTCTGCTAAACCTTGTAAATATGTAACCAGTGTAGTTATTAACCACATAGTCGTGACTTCTTAATCAGGCTGGTCGGGTAAATCCTTCTTGTCAAAATGTCATGTCAAAGTAGAAGCTCACTGGGTTTCTAGTAAACCATTTTTAAAGTAGTTAAGGGGAAGGGCACTTATGGTAAATGTTTTTGTACACTCCTTCCCCAATATGCAATATGCAATTGTCAACTCTGTAAATACAATTTTTCAAAAAATAGCCTCTAAAGTGAGCCCCCATCCTCCTCTGAAGTCAGCCCCCCCCCCCCCCCCCCCCCCTCTGAAGTGAGCCCTTCCCTCGAACACAGTTTAAGATTAAGTTAATAAGCAGTTCTCCCTCCCACGTATCTAAGAGCGGCAAGTTGCTGAGTTCATTCCAATATCCCTCTCCAGAGACCCAAATTACCAAAACGAAAATTAGTTCGACCCTAATTCTATGCAATTCTCATTCAAAGATCCGGCTGGAATAATGGTCCCATAATTCAGATTGAATGACGATTTTCGTCGGAGATAAGTGAACAATAGACGGAGGTTTTGAAACCGCGAATTGTCCTAATTTTTATCCCCCAATAAAGCCTATTAAAACAAAGAGATCGAGCCAGTTGGAAGGCGTTACAGTCAGTCCTTATACCTGTTATATTAGATTAACTTTGGTCGGATTATTTTCTGGTTTGACGCGGTTGATGGAGTACAAGGCTGTGTCATTAGGTGGGTAGTGGCTACTGTAACCTGGTAACTAGGTGATACGTGGTGTCACCATGGTGATACGTGGTGTCACCATGGTGATATACAATGGTGATAACATGTGCATGTTTCAGTAGTCTTATCTTACATCCGCCAATTTATCAATAAGATCATTTAAAATATTAACTTATTTATCAATTTGGTCATGTTTTATGTCGGAAATTATCTGTTCAAGAACCAGATCAATTCGTACTGGCTATGAAATATTCTTGCAATGAATACGTGCTGTTCTTGCAATGAATACGTGCTGTCACCATGGTGATATTCTTGCAATGAATACGTGCTGTTCTTGCAATGAATACGTGCTGTCATCATGGTGATATTCTTGCAATGAATACATGCTGTCACCATGGTGATATTCTTGAAATGAATACGTGCTGTCACCATGGTGATATTCTTGCAATGAATACGTGCTGTTCTTGCAATGAATACGTGCTGTCACCATGGTGATATTCTTGCAATGAATACGTGCTGTTCTTGCAATGAATACATGCTGTCACCAAGGTGATATTCTTGCAATGAATACATGCTGTCACCATGGTGATATTCTTGCAATGAATACGTGCTGTTCTTGCAATGAATACGTGCTGTCATCATGGTGATATTCTTGCAATGAATACATGCTGTCACCATGGTGATATTCTTGAAATGAATACGTGCTGTCACCATGGTGATATTCTTGTAATGAATACGTGATGTTCTTGCAATGAATACGTGCTGTCACCATGGTGATATTCTTGCAATGAATACGTGCTGTTCTTGCAATGAATACATGCTGTCACCAAGGTGATATTCTTGCAATGAATACGTGCTGTCACCATGGTGATATTCTTGGTATGTCTGTATTCTATTTCGGTAGACTGTTGACATGGTGCAATTTTAGGTCAGATGACCGAAAGTGAAGTGGCGATAGGAAACGGCATCAAAGACATCCAAGAAAGCACAGAAAAGGAAATACAGAACTCCCTCGATAATCTAAAAACCAAAAAGAGACTTCCCATGCCATCAATACGTGAGTAACCTATTGTTTAAGTTTTGATGATATTGTAGATGTAGGTTATATTCTTGCGGAGGTGCAACGCAACAGTTCTCAAAAGCCAGGAAGACCGCATAAAACTCAACAGGCAGCAGGGTGCAAAATGTGGGTACATTTGTCACTGCTAATGAACTTATAGTTATGAGATGTTATGTAAAGCAACACGAAGCTCTAAAACGTGCTTACAACTGTAAAGAGTTAGTTCGTTTTTTGTTGTGAATGCATGACGCAGCAGCTCTCCTCGCGGCACTTCATCACACGGCACCTCATCCACGGCACTTCAGCACGCAGCATTTTTGTTTTACCCTGCGGCACTTCAACCAGCGGTTAGCCTCATATATTCTGGTCAAGTTAGATTAAGATCAAAATCAGCTGATAACTTCTCATTCTTAGACCATAAATAACATACTTGCCGTTTTATTCATACCACCACCACCATGCAGAAATTGTAAAAGTTAAAACTACAAATATCGGCACCATTTTTATCACAGAGAGTGCTTAGCTGGAGATATTCAAACTTTAGTTTCAGTGATAAAGCTCCTCGTCATGTTTACTGTCTGTGTGCACTAGGAATTGCCGTTGGTCAAGTAGATACATTTTAAGTGTGACATCATTGCAGATAAAGACCGGAAAAAGGTTATTAATTCGCCAGTCAATAATTGCCGAAGATGAAATGTGGGCAAACAAATTATTGATAAATTCACCGTAACTGTGTCAAAAATTAATTAAAATAACCTTCGCTACAAATGTGACCACTTCAGTTTATGCAGCAGAGTAGCTTGTATGTAACTGATGTACACATGAGTTCTGTGACTCCGAGGACGAATATATCCGCGAGTTTCTGTAACTGAAAATATCTTTTGTTATATGTTTAGTTGTAGGTAAGTATGCGCTGTAAACCGCAAATTTTTGCACTGTCAGACAACTGCTTGTCAGGCATGATTCCTGGAATCTAACTTTAATATTTAACTGTTAGAAGCAACTGCTGGATAGATAACGTATTGTGTGTTGTATCGTGGTATCTTGGTGGTTGCTTTGTTGTTTTCCGTTATTAGTTCTTGTTGTTGCTTTTGTATAAAATGTTAGAATTTAAAGTGCTATTTTGAAGTTAGCTGACTCGCGGAACCCTGTTCAGAGAATATGCTTTATGTGAGATCCAGGAAGAGGAAGAGGAGCAACCAGTTCAGGGAGATACTGACTCACATGTGTGGTAAGTACTGAAACTAGTAGTACACATTTGTTGTGTGGTAAGTGCTGATACTAGTAGTACACATTTGTTGTGTGGTAAGTGAAAATAGTAATACACTTAAGTCACAACTTTTAAATAACCAGACTTTAATTCGCATTTTACATTAATTGTCGTAAGTCATGGTAAGTGAAACCAGAATGGAATGTTTTAATGAGGTGAAATAGCCATTGTTCGAAAATTTAACGTATTGGTAATTGTCGAAGTTAAGCCTGCAAATTCTGCTGCAATTTCTCGGACCACGCGCAACTGACTGTTATACGTGATGTCCCAATAAAAAATATATCGCCACTTGTTCGTGTACTGCCTTGCTATACATACACCAGTAAGTACAGTATGCCATCTGCAAAGCAACAGCTCTCAAATATAAAACTCTGCAAAGCAACAGCTCTCAAATATAAAACTCAGCGGAGGTATAAGACCCAACGTTTGCACACTGACTTTTGGCCCACCCTGTACAACAATGGTAACTTCTCGTGATCTGCTGTGATTTGCTATTACTAACTTCACCTCCTTGTAACCTATATGTAGTTTCCACTAGTCTCAGACAACTGAGCAACACCTGTCCACTAAGCATTCTCAGACGGGTAAAATCATTACAAGATGCTAAGTAATACTTAAAATATAATGTATAATTATTCCTCTAGACATCTCTGCATAATTCAGAGGCCGTGAAGTGGAAAAGCACCTGAGTTCTGAACAGATCCTTGCATCAGGTGCAGTGATCACTTGATGAAATTCTCTCCCGATTAAAATGTAAATGGTGACTAGATGTCCATTATATGTGAAACAGCTCTGGACGGAGTGTTAAGGAGTGTTAAGTTTCTATTATGGACATGAGATAGTATAATATAATACTGAGTTACAATATCAGATATCCATGTCAGGTGATTTCACGGTTGACCAGGGTTAATTAAACAGCAGTGAGACTTGAAGATAATAAAAGCCTATGTTTTAATGGCATGTGATTTCTTATGAAATCTTCGGTGGAATGAATTGATAAATCAAACAGTCTGAAAGTAGAAAGTTCTCAATTTAAATTGCTGGCATATAATATTATTGAAACACATGTGTGTAGGCTTTGTTAAATAAACTAATAAAATATTTAAAGTTGACCTTCAAAGCAGTCAGCTCTAAGACTTTATAGTTTTAAACTAATTAAAATTACAACTCTACATATCTATTACATTTATTGAGGAAACGATGTAACATAGTAAATTTAATTTTAATGTTGCCATGGGGTGGCAAGTCCCCATTAATCGTAGTCTGATAGTTTCATTGCATCCTAATACTAAGACTCAGATTTAGTTACAGAAACATTTTGATTGGGGACTAGCTCAAGGTGCCAGTCAATGGGTGTTCAAGCCTAATATTTTTGTCGAGCAGCATAAAACCGTGCTTGAAGTAATTATAAATTTTAATGACCCGACAACTTTCGTACGTTCTACTTATAGTTTGATGGTAGTTATGTACACATGAGAATGACGTACTTGTGACCCGACTAGTTGGGGCGACTTCAGCTGAATGCCATCATTACTGACTTGTTGATTTCATATCGCACGTTATAATAGCTATAAATCTAGTACTGTTCACAGACACCAGAACGATTGATGTTCACCATAATGCTACTATAACTCTATAAAAACTATATAAACATGCTCGATAATAAGTTGCTCAATTTACCTGTAACAGTAGGACCAGAAGGTTGGTATAGTTTCTCTAGAAACTGGATATTATGTACTTACATACCATAAAGCAGGTAACAGCAAATAATCTGTAAAAGCACATAAACGGTCTATAAATATATGTAGTTTAAGCATACGATGTTTCACAGTACTGTTACTTACCTTAAATTTTAGTTATTTACATTTTCACTTTTCACAAGACACGATTAGTATCTTTGTGTTCCAATGATGTGATGTCTCACCATGGTTAAACCAGGTTATAAAACCTAGACTTACATAGTTTCACAATAGTTTCACAATAGTTTCACAATAGTTTCACAATAGTTTCACAAAATACCTGACTGGTATTTTCTAACACATGAGACATATGTTCCAATTGAAACGTCCTTCTCGACAGCTGACAGCTGAGTCCGGCTACTTGACCAGCAATTATAAAGAAGGACCTTCTCGACAGCTGACAGCTGAGTCCGGCTACTTGACCAGCAATTATAAAGAAGGATCACAGACCCACAGCTGACAGCTGAGTCCGGCTACTTGACCAGCAATTATAAAGAAGGATCACAGACCCAGGGTGTCTTGGTCTGGTCAGCCACTAACGACCATGGCAACAAAAGCGGTAACCATGGAAACAAAAGCGGTAACCATGGAAACAAAACCGGATCCGTGAAATAATACCACGTCCGAGGAGCGGCATCAGCAGGAGGCGTGGTATTTATCTCGAGCCAGCGACTACGGATCCAGTGGCCGGTATAAGGCCATTACACATCAGGTCATGTTACCCTGATCCGAGGTTTCTTTTGTTAGTCACTAGGTGTCCTTCTGGTGACCTGAATGACAATATGGAGCTTGCTGTGTTCTCGTTGTTGTTGCTCCGTACTTGTATTGTGGTTTGTCGCCATAGGATAGGTTGTAATTGTGGTTGAATTGCTGTATTTTTATATCCTTTGATATTCTCTGAGGGACCCTTTTATTTGTCATTTGTTATCTTATCGTGAAGAAATTCATTATGACCGGTGGACTAGAGTTTTTTTATAGACTTGGTAGATTTTTTAAAAAACTCAACAGATTCTGTTAAAAGGTTAAAGACTCGACAGATTCTGTTGTAGACTCGGCAGACTCTGTTTAAGACTCGACAGACTCTGCTTAAGACTCGACAGACTCTGTTGAAGACTCGACAGACTCTGTTGAAGACTCGGCAGACTCAGTCTTAGACTTGGTACACACTGCAGTGCAAATGTATCTCTAAATAATCGTGCGGTTTTAATCCCGGAAATCACATTGAATAATTGGGTAATGATATGACGTCACTCATGCGTGTTTATGGTTGTTACCGAACTTATTGACATGATTAGTGAATGAGATTGTTGTGTCTGCCGATATCTATAATTAGTAGGTTAATGTCAGTATACTGCCAGATCACAAGTGGAATCAGTTTCCTCATAACTCTGACTATAACGTAGTTTTTTCGACCCGTATTAGCTTTTAATCGTACGGCAAATATTTTTTGAGTCCGATCCCTTTCAAACTTCCTAGCTGTCATCTATGAAATAGTGAACGTAATTATTTTTCTAGTACCACAAAGGTTTCGTGGACTAACGTACATAATTATTAATTAGCCTGACGTCCGCTCAAGGTGTAGTGGACTGTAGGAGCTCTAAATTTGGAGTAGGTTAAACTAAGTACTTAAGTTTAAAAATATTCATTGAGCCAAGTTCTTAGGTTTAACAGTGCTTTATTAGTTTATTAGTCAGAACACTGTTATAGCACCGAACAATTTTAGTGGTACTTATGGGGCTTCAACACAATGATTCGGCGCGTGTTTGATCTAAACTGCTAAAAAGCTTGTTGTTGTAATCAACCTTGCTTGCAGTCTGGTTTACATCTGAAGTAGTTTAGAGTTTTTAGACGGTGAATTATTTGCATTCCGGCACTTAGCACTAGCTCACTAGGATATTAGGACATGGTTAATTGTAACAGCATTGCTATTGGTCCCGTCTTAATACCGTTTCAATACCGTCGAATCTTGTTCAAATACCGTCGAGATC